CTTAGCTCTGTCTATCACTTGCTGTTTTCGCTGTTTGGCGTGCAAGTAGTCCTGTTTCGTGGCTTCACCAGGTTGATACCTCATCTTCAGGTATGCCTGGTGCTGCTCCTGGCATGCCCTCCTGCACACTCCATTGAACCAGGGTTGATCCCCTGGCTTGATGGTAGTGGTTGAGTGGGGGATATGCCGGGCCAGGAGGTTACAGATTGTGCTGGAGTCCAATTCTGCTGCTGTTGATGGCCCACAGAGCCTCATGGATGCCCAGTCTTGAGTTGCTATATCCGTGCGAAGTCTGTCCCCATTTAGCATGGTGATAGCGCCACACAACACAATGGAGGCTGTACTCAATGTGAAGGCGGGACTTCATCTCCACAAGGGCTGTGCAATGGTCACTCTTACCAATACTGTCATGGATAAATGCAACTGCAGCTGGCAGATTAGTAAGGACGAGGTCAAGTATGTTTTTCCCTCTCGTTGGCTCCCTCACCACCTGCCGCAGACCCAGCCTAGCAGTTATGTCCTATCGGACCCGACCAGCTCGATCAGTAGTACCGCTGCCGAGCCACTCTTGGAGGTGGACATTGAAATCCCCCACCCAGAGTACATTTTGTGCCCTTACTATCCTCAGTGCTTCCTCCAAGTGTTGTTCAACATTGAGGAGTACTGACTCATCAGCTGAGGGAGGACGGTACGTGGTAATCAGCAGGAGGTTTCCTTGCCCATGTTTAACTTGAAGCCATGAGACGTCATGGGATCCGGAGTCAATGTTCAGGACTCCTAGAGCAACTCCTTCCTGACTGTTTACCACTGTGCTGCCCCTTTGCTGGGTCTGTCCTGCTGGTGAGACAGGACATATCCAGGGATGGCGATGGTGGTGCCTGGGACATTGTTTGTAAGGTTTGATTCTGTGAGTATGACTATGTCAGGCTGTTGCTTGATTTCAAATGCATCTACAATACTACTAATTTAAAATCGGTCACAGATTTTATAAAGGGCAATTTCACTAAACAACGCTGGACAATTTTCAGGTGAAACATGTTTAAAATGAATCACAATCTGCTTTTTATTGATAAACCATAGCTTCTGTATTCAAGATGTGCTGTTGCCGCTCATGATTGTTTATTATGATATGTTAATTTTATTTTTGAAATTCAAAATTAAATAAAACCATTTATTGGAAAAAAAGGTCTGTACAAAGTAATAAAATACCTCACTGACCACAGGAATTGAATGGCATCAGTACAAGACTGACTGCATTCATCTCTAAGAGATTTAGGTCTGCAACATTAGTGGCTTGGAAATGTAGTCAGCAGTGAGGTTAAAAAAACAGACCTCAAGAAGACAGACTGGTGAATAGACATATAGAAAATGAAATTCAAACACAAATGTACAAAGTGATGCATTTAAGCAGCAACAATGCAAATTAAATAGCACAAATTTGAATGGGAATGGTAGAAGAGAGAGCTATATGTTATTGTACTTTGGACACCTAAGAATGGGCAATAAATGCTGACCAGCCAGCAATTCCCACATCCACAAGTGGGAAGAAAAATTTCTTGCAACGGTAGTTGGCAAGGTTAGATTTGGCCTACTTTCAGTGGACAAGACATATCTTGGCAATTTTCCACTTTGATAAATGCCAGAATTGTAGCTTCACTGAAAGTTTGGCTATGGGTGCAGCTAATTCTGTATCACAAGCATTCAGTACATTTACCACAATGTTGTCATTTGCAGTATCCAGTTTTTTTTCAACCATTGAGTGAATCAAATTGACTGAATGCTGACATCTGTGGAGGACCACAGGAAGATGCTGTGATGGTTTATCCAAATCAGTACTTCTGGCTGAAGATGGACACAAATACTTCAGCCTTGTCTTTTGCACTGATGTGGTGAGCTCCCCGGTCATTTAGCGTGTGGATGTTTGTAGAGCCTCTTCCTCCGGTTAGTTGTTTAGTTATTGATCAATCACTGGTTTTAGGGTCACTTAGTTCTGTCTGTGGCATGCTGCCTCCACTGTTTGTCTTGGATTGTACTGTCACTAGACTGACATCTCATTATTGGTTACAACTGGTGCTGTTCCTAGCATATCCTCCTGCAAACTTCATTCAACCAGCTTAACGGCAGTGGTGGAGTGGTGAATGTGTCAGGCCATGTGATTACACATCGTTGCTAAATTCAATGCTGCTGTTTGAAGTCTGTCCCATTTAACACAGCACCGTATAACACAACTCAATGGAAAGGATCTTCATTCTGCATATGGAACTTAGTCGCATTAATACTATTATTATGGAAATATGTATCTGGGACAGGTGAGTCAGCAAAGATGAGATAAAGTATGTTTTTCACTCACATTCCCATTATCTACTGCAGACCCAATCTAGCTCTGATGTCCTTTATGACTCGGACAGCTCAGTCATTAGTGGCGTTACTGAACCACTCTTGGCCAAAGTACATTCAGTGCCCTTGTCACTCTTGATGCTTCTTCTAACTGGTGTTCAACATGGAGAAGTACAGATTCACCAGCTGAGGGGCAGCAGCAAGTAGTAATCAGAAGGAAGTTTTCTTGACCGTTCATTCTTGCTTAACCAATGCCATGAGACTTCACGAGGTCCAGAGGTGATGCCAAGGACCTGTTGGGTGACCCCATCCTGCCAGCATACCACTGTGCTGCCATCTGGTGATGGCTGTTTCCAGGATACATCATAGCTTATAGACAAGGTCATCTTTTGTTTGTCACATCTATACGACAGATCTCCAATTTTTGCACAAACCACACTTATGAAGGAGGACGACTTTGCAGGATTGATAGGACTGGGTTTGGCACATCCGCTGCCTAAATTGATGCCATGTGGCCTGTATAATTTCAATCTTTTGTTTAGACATCGTAGCAGTTTGATACTGCCAGTGACTTGCTAGAACATTTCAGAGAGCAGTTAAGAGTCAACCAAACTGCTGAGAGTCTGGATGTAGATGTTTGGTCACATATAGACCAGAAGGGGATTAGCTAACCAGTTGGGACTTTACAACAATTTGACAATGGTTTCATGCTCATCAATTTTCAGATGTATTCATTGAATGATGATTCCACCAGCTGCTAGGGATGGGATTTGAACCCATCTCCATGCAGCATTAGTACGGGCTTTCCAGATCACTAGTACAGTGACATTACTACTATGCCACTACCTCCCTATGCAAACACAAAAGCTTTTCACTTTTTATCATTGTTAATATTATGGTCATTAAATGTCTTCACAAAAATAAGAAAAAGAGCAGAGCTAGCGATCTTGACCAAAAAAAAGTCATGACATCACAGCTATCACTTTTCTGTTCTTGATTTCACACCTGTTATGAATCTGGATAACTCCAGGAAATTTACATATGCAGCTTTTATGCGTGAACAGCAACTGACCTAATAAGGAGCTGAAATCCATTCAAGTGCAGGGATCAACAGTAACAACTTGTATTTGATATAATAAAACCATTCAACATGCTTCAATTGAGAAACATAAAACAAAGTTTGACACCAAACTGCATGAAGAAATTATAGAGCTGACCCAAACAACAAGGGCAGCACGTTTACTCAGTGGTTAGCACAGCCAACTCACAGCGCCAGGGACCCAGGTTCAATTCCAGCCTTGGGTGACTGTCTGTGTGGAGTTTGCACACATTCTCCCTGCGTCCGTGTGAGCTTCTGCTCCGGTTTCTTCCCACAACCGAAAGATCTGCAAGTTAGGTGGACTAGCCATGTTAAATTGCCCTGGTTGTGTCCAGGAATGCGCAGACGAGCCGGTTTAGCCATGGTAAATGTGAGGTTACAGGGATAGGGTGGGATACTCATTGGAGGGTCAGTGCAGACTCAATGGACCAAATGGCCCCTTTCCACACTGTAGAGACTCTATGATTCTATGACTATAGAAAAAAGTATGTTGAGGTTTACAGTTATTACATGTGTAACGTACTTGCACCAGAATTTCTTAGCTGGACGTTTCCCTTATGCCACAATTACATTTATCTCTGGACACAAATACAGAGGAAATTCCATCTTTTGGTATTAAAATTCAAATCTGAAGTAGAGAAGTACAATGTTACTTTCAGCTGAATTGCAACAATGGCTGTTGGTAAAAGCTTCAGCGCTACAAATAAATTTAAAAAGTGCATGCATAATTCAGGAGTAAATTAAACTCTAACTGCATCCATCAGCCTCTTTTACATCATGTTAGCTTTTCTCCACCAACTTTGGCATCTAACTAAAATAAAAAAGGAACACTTGAAGAAGCTACAAATCACTGGTCCCTAATTTGCACTGCTGCCCAGGACAAATTTAATTTGTTTTACCACTCCGAAAATAAATGATCCATTAAACATGCCACATTATGGAACACGATGATATTTTGCAAGGTGGCAACACATAAGTAATGTTAAATATGAAATGCTACTTAGAACTGATTTTCTAAAACAAGTTTATTACTACATTTTCCTCAATCTCACATTATTCATTCTAATACCAAAATAATTGATTGAAGAGGAATACAAAACTCAATACGTAGTGAAACATTCTAGCATCAGTTTAAATGCAAAACACAGTTGCATTAATGAAATAGTCAGTAATTATAATTATTGACATTCAGAACAAAAAAGTTTGCTAGCCAAACTCATTGAATTCCAGCAACTCCAGATAACACATCATTTTTAAATTCTGCAACTGGTATTTCTAGAAACCACTTTCAACACAATTGCTAAGCTCCATACCAAAAAAAACCCATTGATATACAATCCTATTGCACAATGAGAAATTTTAAATCACTGCAATTCAGTAAAAAATAAACAGGTTACTCAACTGTGGGGAGTCAAATATGTTAGGTAAAGATCTCAGAATTATTTAGCAGGACCTTTGATTTGATAAAATCTGAAAAATCAGAATTCTTTTCATTGCTTGTAGTTCTACAAGTTTTGAAGTAATCATACCAAGATTACAGAGTTAATAATTTTTAAGTACTTACATCAAAAGTATCTCTGCGAATTCCTTTATGGTTTCTCAACCAAGATCGGCTGAGCTCATTCAACTCCAGGATTGGCTGCACTTTTAATCTCACAGTATCTCCAGATTGACGAATCATCTCAACTATTTCATCACGTGATCTATTTTCAACATTCTTACTGTTAATTTCCACCAGTCTATCTCCTGGCATCAGACCCAATGCCAGATCTTTGGTACCAGCTCCAGGTTCTGCAAAATGAACCGTTCGACGGTACACTTGCCCATCAGGTCCTCTGTCCAGCATAGTTGTTCTTCGCAAAGAGAATCCAAAGTCTCCTGTATTTCTTCTCTGCAATACAAGCTCTCTAGGTTCTGTAGGTAAAGGCGGTACCACCGGAGGAAGACGTAAATCAGCAGCAAAACTTTTATTCACAATTTCCGGAATCAGAGAATTAGGACTTGCCATTGACAATGTATCTGATGTATTTTTTGGCATTTCCTCTAAGTACTCCAGTAGTAAACCTTCATTTCTCATTTCAACTTGTGGTGAAGGAGTTGCAGAATTTTCTGATGGAGTTGACACTTCGGATATCTCTTCTCGACTCTTTTGTGAAAAAGAGAACCTCTTTACTAATTGGACTGAATTCTGTTTGGCAAGAGAACCAAACAAAGCTGCTCTCTGAAGTACGGATCCCTTCAAACTACTTTCATCAATTTTGAGGTCATCACTGGAACTGGCGGTACTCAACTGCTCAGAATCAAAAATCATGCTTCCTCTATTACTAACAGTGTCTGAATCAATATCTGTAAGATTGAGATCTGAACTACTAGCTACTTTTATTGGAATAGGAGCTGAAATTTCCAGTTTAGACTTTGATTCCCGCTTCGAAGAACGATTCAAATTAAAGAGTCCTCGACGAAGACCAACTTCCTCAAGGCTTTTCAATTCTGCTATAGACATTTTTTCCCGTTTTTCCTTCTTTTCTTTTCTTTCCTTCTTATCTTTGTCTTTTTTGATTAAGTTAAACATTTTTAATGTTTAATATTGTGTGCAAATAATTAACAAATTAAAAAATAAGTAAAGGTAGAATCTTTTAATGGTCCAGCTGCAATCACAGACAAGTCACTTTTCTTCTTAAACTGGTATGACCAAATGTAATCTTTGTCTGAAATAAAAGCAAAATTATAATTACAATAGAAACAAGTACAACAGTAAACTATTCAGTATTTTACTAAAACTATATTCAAGTTAGTACTTCAAATAAGAAATACCTTATGATTATTCACATCAGCTTAATTACAAATAACATAATAACACATAACCAAAAAATGAACATATATCTAAATACACAATTATCTTTTCAATGTATCAACTTTTCAAATAGAAATAATTTGCTAGCCTTGTTAATCAATACAGAAGTCAGTCATGCAGGACAGTAAGGTCCCAAATCCAATGCCTAAATAACCTCAGCCAGATTACTGGTGGAAATGCTATAATTGGCAGGTGTTTGCAACCAAGGGGAAAAGCTGTAGTCAAGTTTCCCTCAATCATCCACAGCAAATTATGGTAAAAAAAAATTGCATATGGAGATTATGAGTTAGCAATGACTTTCATCTGGCTGCCATATTCCCCAACAGTTGAATTTACCAACCATGTTCATAAATGGATTTAATCACAAGCTTTCTAGTAATAGGTACTAGCACTTGTTCAACCATAAACAAAAATAATAGAAAAGACATTGTCTGACCAACCTCCCACACTTCTTTTAAAGGAACTGACAACACTTGTGAATTGTAGCAAGCGTTGATATCGCGCAACCCGAATTCCAAAATGCATTTGATCATTAAAATGCATGAACTGTGGAGATTCAGAGTGACCAAGAAACTGACAGAAAGTTGAAAAATGAATGTGCAGATGGAAAGGGTGTGGTAAGGGAAACAGAAAAGCCGAGAAGGTGCCTCAGGATTCAGTGCTGGGTACACTGCTGTTTCTAAATTACACATAACCTGAATTCAAAAACTCAACATTAAGGTGTGAGATTATTCAACACTAAAAGGCACAATAATGGAGGTGACTCTGAACTTATAGAAGTTGTTGGAAAAAAGTACGTAAATAACAAGAACAATTGCAGATGAAATTTAATGCAAACAGATGTTAAATGCTGCATGCGGAAAGAAAAACAATTAACATACAAAACAGAATGGATAAAGTTGAAAATAGCCAGTGAACCCAAGTGATACTTCAAACAAACCAATAAACCAACAATATCCAAACGTTGCAGAACAGCATTCAAAGTCCACAGAATGTTAAACTCCATAGGAAAATCAACAAAAAAAACACGTAAAAGGAGGCAAAGATCAAACTTTGCATTTCATTCTTTTTGGTTGCAGACAAACTAAACTGACCCCAAGTGTGGTGATAGCAATTCAATAATGAGTAAAGACTAAAGAAACTTGGGTGATTCATCCTAGAAAGGCAGTATTAGAGAGATAGTGTGATAGAGTTAGAGACAACTGTTTAAAAGGCAAAAAGAAAGTAAAATTGATCTGCAATATAATTCAAAAAAGTAAACCAAGCAGTTATAATCTATGCACATGAATTCTATTTATAAAAAGATAAATTTAGGATAGATACCAGAACTCTCTCTTCATGCAAGAGTGACAAATGTGAATAATAATAGCAAAAATTATGAAGTTATTGAAGAAATAATTATACATGGAATACATTAAAACCTTTCTGGGTGAATGTACTAAATTGGCAAACAGTCTTCCTCATCCATAATTCGTGATATTCTTAGTCAACAATCTTCAAAAAAGGAGAGAAAGATAAATTAGGAAGAAACTGGGCTCTACAATTCCTTTGAAAATTGGAATACGCACATTTTGACATGCTTGTGTCAATTTTACTTATTTTTATTATTTACAACAAATGCTGAATGCAATGCCTTCATAAAAGGATTCACAAATAAATAGCAATTTTGATATAGGTAATTGCAAAGACAAAATAACAACAGTATAGTTGTGTTGAAATGTTCACTTCAAGGCTTGGCAGCTGCTCAGCTAGTATCCCTAATTACATGAACACAGCACAATAGAACTAAAGAATGTCAATAAGTTTATACATGGTTCTTTGTTCATTTAAAAAAAACTATAATGATGGCAAAATTCATTACCAGCGTTCTCTTACTCTGATGCACAATATTTCAAAAAGGTAAAGATGTGCAGGCTAGGTAGATTGGCCATGCTAAATTGACCATAGTGTCCAGGGATGTGCAGGCTAGGGGGTTTAGCCATTGGGGAATGCAAGGTCATAGGGGTAGGGGATTGCTCTGGGTGGAATGCTCTTCGGAAGGTCAGTTTGGACTTGATGGGCCAAATGGCCTGCTTCCACACTGTAGGGATTCTATGATCTATGATTGAAATGGTTCTTCCCCCACCAAACTGGCAGTAATTTTTTTTTGGTCCATTTTCTGGTTATGTTTCAAGAACAGTAACTGACAACGTTCACAATAGATTTTTAGAACCAAATCAAGACTTGAGACTATGGCAGGGTGTAATTCTTGCTACTTCAATGCTTCACAAAAATACAAACTTCCTAAATTTCATATATTTAGAGAACGCAAATGGAAGCGGATATATAGACACGTAGAAACTAGGCGCAGAAGTAGAGCATTTGACTCTTCTAGTCTGTTCCACCTTTCAACAGGATCATGGATTATTCTACCTCAATGCCATATTTCCACTTTCTCCCCATATTCCTTGATGCTTTTAAAATCTAAAAAAAAATGTTTTTGAATCTATTTGGTGACTTGGCTTCCATTGCCCTGTGATGGAGAATCCCACAGGTTTACTACCCTTTTACAGAAGACTCTTCTCCTAAATGGTCTACCCCATATCCAGAAAATTTTTTCCCCTGGTTTCCCCAACCAGGGAAAACATCTTTCCTGTATCTTGTCTGAAACCTGTTAGAATTGTATGCATTTCAGTCAGATCCGCTCTCATCCTTCCAAAAGCTAATGAATACAGGCAGAGTTGAACCAATCTCTCCTCTTCTGATAGTCCTAACATCTCTGGTATCAACCAAGTGAACCTCCACTCCCCTCCCTCTATGGCAAGTATAGCTTTTCTTACATAGGGAGACTAAAACTGCACGCAGTTTTCCAGGAATGGTCTCACCAAGGCCCTGTACAACTGAAGAAAGACATCCCTATTTCTGAACTCAAATTCTCTTGCAATAAAGGCCAATAAACAATCAGCCTTTCTAATTTTTGCTGCACATGCCTGTCTATTTTCATTGACCGGTGTACAAAGGGCATCCAGATCCTTTTGTACATCCACTCTTCCCAACATAATACCATTTAAATAGTTCTCTTCCTTTCTGTTTTTCACACTGAAGTGTATAACTTCATTTTTAGCCATGCTGCTCAGCATCTGCCACATGTTTGCGTACTCACCCGGTGTGTCTAAATCACTTTGTATTCTCCTCACAACTCCATCCATTCTCTGTCATCAGCAAACTTGAAACTGTTAATTCAGTTACCTCATCCTGGATATTAGATTTTTTTATATATATATATATAAAAATTATATAAGGCCCAAGTACTGACTATTACAGTAACCCACTATTCACTGCCTGCCAATCAGAAAAAATTCTCACTGTTTCTGTTAACCATTTCTTGATCCATGCCAATAACGTATTACCCCCTATTCAACGTCCATCAAATTTGCCCACTAACCTCTTCTGAGGGATCATGTGAAAAGTCTTCTGAAAATTTAAATATACCACATTTACTGGTTGCCCATTATCTATTCTACTAGTTGCAACCTCAAAGAACGTGAGAAGATTTGTTAAGCGTGATTTGTCTGCCCTAAACACATGTTGGCTTTGTCCAAACTTATTAATGATTTTGAAATACTTTTTTTTTTGAAATAATAAACACGAGCATTTCCCCCCACTACTGAAGACAGGCTAACTGCTCTGTAATTCTGTGCTTTCTCTCCCTCCCCTTTTTTAAAAAAAAAATGGGGTTACATTTGTCATTCTCCAATCTTTAAGAATATAATGTATAGAACTTTGGAAGCTGACCAACAATGCATTAAATATTTCCTTTATAAGGCTTTGATGTAGATTTAGAACCTCATGATTTGTCAACCTTTAACCCATTAATTTCCCCAGTACCATTCTCGTACTAATACCAATTTCCTTAAATTCCATCATCTCACTAGACCCTTAGTTCCCTGACATTTCTGGGACATTATTTGTAGCCTCTTTTGCAAAGACAGAACCAAAGTAAATGTTCAATTCTTCTAACTTTTCTTCATTTCCCACTATAATTACCCAGCTTCTAGCTTTAAGGGATCTACATTTGCTTTTACTAATCTTTTTCTTTTCACATATTTATGGAAGCTATTATGGTCAGTTTTGACATTCCCTGTAATTTCACCCAGTGTATTTTCACCCTCTTGTCCAGACTCTTGCCTCTTTTGCAGAATTCTAAAATGCTCCCAATCCTTATGCTTGCTTCTATTTCTCGTAATTTTGAAAATCTCTTCTTTGAATCTAACAATGCTTTTGTAGGCCATGGTTGAGCTACCTTGCCTTTCTTATTTTCATGCCAGACAGGAATGAATAATTGTAATTCATGTGCAAGTTATTCAAATATAAACCATTGCCTATGTACTGTGACAATGCTGTCACTTTGAAAAAGATTATTTTGTCCTGGGTTCTTTTTTTGAAGAGAGGTTGTAAAGGTAGAGGTATCGAACTGGCTACTGAAAACAGCTGAAGTAAATAACTTAGGAGGTCTTTAGGTTTTTTTTAAAACTGTTGTAACAATGGATGGAGAGTGGCCAGCTCTAGTTATTTTTAGCTTGAGCAGTCAGAAGCTGTTTGGGGTCCCAGAACAGGTGAAAGCTTCAGCAAATGATTCCTAGCTGCCACTTGCTCGGAAATCTCTCAATACAGTTTCCTCCTGGATTGGAGGACTGCATGTAAGAATCAGTGTCTGAATTTATCTTTTTGTCAAGGGGTATGCTTAAGTTATGTTACTATATTGGAACAGTTAATTAGTAACAGGTACTGTATATATTATTCAGTTAAGTTCTTCAACAGTTAAGCTATTCTAAATTCCCACTTCTTTTGTTTGTATTTTAACTTTGGCGTTTA